TGTTCTGAATATTATAATATGTTCTGAATGTTAGAGCTTTATGCTTTTAGTATGCTAATAATACATCTTTACAAGAAAAAATATAAATAAATACACAATACCAGCAAATAATTCTGCCATGAAGGGAAAACAGAATTAATACAGTAATAAATAAACATCCAGGTATTCTGGTCTACCATATTAAACTAACATAAAAATATTGCTCAGGGCCAGGGAGGTAGTTTGGTGGTCTAAGCACCTGCCTGGCAAGCTCAAGGAACTGGGTTTGATCCCTGGTACTGCATGCTGTGCAGGCCCTGCACCAAGCTGGCCGCTGAGACCAGGCGTGGTGGTGCACACCTGTAATCCCAGCACCGGGGAGGCTGACAAAGGAGAATCATGAGTCTGAGTACCAAATAAATAAAGATTTAAAAACTTTTTACTAAATGATGCTCAGGGTCAGGAAGGCCAGCTCAGCGGCATAAGCACTTACCTGGCAAGCATAAGGTTCTAAGTTCAATCCTGGCACCACCAAAAGAAAAAAAAGGAAAAAAAAAAAAAAACAGTACTCAAATTTCCCTGTTGGAGGTTTTTAATACGTGGGAGAAAATGACCACTTGTTTATACAAGCAAATCTCTGCATAGCAATCTAGTGTAGTAAGATAATATATATGAAAAAAATAGAATAGAGAAAGAAGAGAAAAAATATAATGAAGAAAAAATTCAGGGGCAAGGGAGATAGCTCAGGAGAATAAGCACTTGCCTGGCAAGCACAAGGCCCTGAGTACAATCCTTGGTTCTGCCGAAAGAAGAAAGAAAGAAAGGAAGGAAGGAAGGAAGGAAGGAAGGAAGGAAGGAAGGAAGGAAGGAAGGAAGGAAGGGTGAATGAGTTAGAGATGGGTTTCAATATAATGTTTTACGAAGCATAGAGAATTAACTCTGAGAGTAGTAATGAGAGCAGCCCAGAATGTTATAAGACACAATAAAAAATAAATATGACTGTCTTCAACTAGTCTAGAAGCCCTGGAAATGTTCATCTCATAACTAATCCCATCTTCCAGGCACTTAGCAATAGGGCATCAGTCACTAGAAGTAGGACTAGAGAAAGAAAATACAAAAAAATTGAAAATTAGGTAAATGATACAAAAAAATAAGCATGCAGAAACAGGTGGAAAATTTATTACAACTGGATAATAATTTATTGATTTTCCTCCCTCCCTTCCTCTCTTATTTTTTCCTCTCTCCCTGCCTCCCCTCCCTCCCTCCCTTCTTCCTTCCCTCTTTTCATTCCTTCCTTCTGTACCTCTCTTCCTTTGTTCCTTCCTTCCTCCATTCCTCCCTCTATCCCTTTCTCCCTCCCTCCATCCCTTCCTTCTTACCTCCCTCCCTCCCTCCCTCTCTCTCTCCTTCCATCCCACTTGTCATTCCTTCCTTCTGTACCTCCTTCCCTCCTTTCTTCCTTCCCTCCTTCCTTCCATCCTTCCTCCTTTGTTCCTTCCTCCCTCCCTTCCCCCTCCCTCCCTCCCTTGATCCCTGCCTCCCTGCCTGCCTCCCTCCCTCTCTCCTTCCTTCCTTCCTGTCATTCCTTCCTTCTGTATCTCTCTCCCTGCCTTCTTCCTTCCTCCCTCACTTCCTTCCTTCCTCCTCCCTCTCTTCTTTCTTTCTGTACTGTCTGAAGAAAGCCAAATACCTTCAGTTCTCTAGCCGTGAAGCGGAAGGCAGCAAAAGAATAAAAACTGACACCTGACAAAAAGTGGCTCCTCCCACAGACGAGGGAGCCTACCTGGGCATCAGTCCTGCAGCTCAGCATCCCTAAATTGCACCTCTTTCAAGAAGCAAAGAGAAAAGAAGGTGCTTTCTAAAAGTATCTAATTTCTGTCTAAGAATATCTAATTACTTTTATTCCTTTTCTCTTAACTATATGACTCTCATAGCAATAGCACTGTAGTTGACAAAGTAGGGATTGCCATTTTTGGCCACAGGTCATTTATAACTTGGGACTGAACTGTAAATATAAGCAACCTGGACTCAGCCCAACAGATGAGAAAAATAACGCTGAAAGGCTGGAAGTGTGTCCACATAAAACAGAAAAGCGGCTTAACTGAAGGCACAATTCATTGTAAGATAGATGAATTTCAGGAAGATGAGATTGTCACAAGCTTTATTTCACCAACCTGAAAGTGAACAGCCTGAATTTGAAGAGACAGCTATACATCTGTACTTGGTTATTTTGAAATTCTGCTCCTCTCCAGATGTCAGATCCTGTTAGCTCCCATGTGACTACCAATTTCAAGAGAGATGCTAGGAACGAGGTCTCTGGGCTGTCAGCACAATTCCAAATCATGCCATTTGCATTACATTTTAGCTCCATTTTCGAAAGAGAATACAATTGTGTAAGAACGGTAGAAACTGGAGCTTCTCTAGATTTATAACTATAAGTTAAGTGAAATGCTATCTTTGCAGTGCAAGTCTTCTGTTTTCTGTGTCTCATTCTCCCTCTTAGGCAAGTAGCCAATTTCTTCCTGTCCACCCAAAGCTTCTCAGTGTTGTTTCTTCTTGTCACCTTCCTCAAAGCAGCTATGGTTGCTGCAGACCTTTGCTGTCCATCTTCCTTCTGATACACAGAGAATTCATTCTCCAAAAATTCTAGATTAAGTCACCAGTTACTCTAAGGAAATAAAATATTTAGATACAGAACTAATGGCCAATGAGTCACACAGATTCTCTTTTTACATGTATAATTATATATATATATATATAAACATTATATAATTGATAATTATATTATGAATAGAATTATCTGTATATATCAAATAATAAATAGATATTAGTTATATATCTCAAAATTATATATATTTGTATCAATTATATATAATGTTCATATATAATATATATACACACATATATTCAGTTATTAAACTACATCTATTGAATACCGATTACATACCATGAACTATGCAAATAGTTTCATATGTGTTATCTCCCATTGTGGGTCTCCAAAGCCTTCTTTACCTTTGGTCCCAGAGGTACATGTGGTCATTCCTTACTTCTCAAACACTCCTCAAGAAAGTATCAAAAACTTCCCATACAATCTTCTAGGACACTAAGACTGAACATATCAAACACAATGATATGAAATATATTATAGCCATAAGACAGAAAATATAAAAACTTTTTATAGTTCTTGACTGATGATCTTCACGATGAATTATAGCTCATATCCCTAATTAAGCTGTTCTTCTTTCTTTAGACAAGAAGATTAACCTTGGATTTCCATGCTATCTGACCAGGGTATCAGGAAATACCTAAGTGGTCAAAGTACATGTTACTGGCTTCCAATAACAACAATAGATAGATTTCTGTTCTGTCACTGAGGAAGGTTAACCAGGTGAAGTATGTGCTGAGGTAAAACAACAGGAACAACAACCACCAAACTATGAAAGCTATGACCTCCTTTCATGGCTGCAGTGCGCCTGAGATGGAAGCTAGACTAATGCAGAAAATCAGTCTTTTCTAAGTAAGTAGGTCCAGTAGAAAACCACTAGCTTTTAAAATAAGGAAGAAAGTAGGAGTGTGCAAATTAAATAAAGATAAGTTGTTAAAGGTTAACCAGTTTCTCCTGGTGGTGTTATAAGCAAATGGCATAGTCATTCCCCGCTTCTACAATATTTAGATGTTCTATGTCAGTCACATAGTGGGAGCTGAGAACAAATGTGGGTAAACGAGATACAAAATACCTTCACAGAACAGAAGCTAAAACATAGTCCCTTCATCTTTCAATGTTGAATCATATGTTATGTCTGGACCATGAATGTGACAAAAGACAAAGTAGTTCTGGTACTACCATCATTTGGCAGAGAGAGGGGGGGCAAAACTCTCCTGAAAGCATATTATTATCATTGGTAGCAATGTTTCTTGTGCTTACAAAATAAATTACCAGACATTTAGGAGCTTAGTATGACCATTTGCTACTCCCTATTTCTGTTGATCAGAATTCTAGACATGACGTAGCCAGATTCTCTGCTGAAGGTCTCACCAAGTTGGAATCAAGACTTTGGAATCAAGAATTTCATTAGGCTACATTTTCATCAGAAACTTCTTCCAAGTACATCTAGACTACTGGACGAACTTAGCTTCAGACAACTGTGGAAAAACGGTCCCTGTTTTGTTGCTGGCTGCTGGTAGCGCTTGCTTGCCAGGCTGAAGTTCCTAGCCAACACATGATTCAGTCAATCAATCAATTAACTTTTCACTTTCCCTGTATTTCTCCTTCTTCATCCCTCTCCCTCCAGTCAACTGCAAAGTAGCCTTATATCACACAAGAGGGTATGTCACTTTAATATAGCCCAGGGCAAGGGAGTGACTTTCCTCTTAGACTCCAAGGTCCCACTACACAGTGCCTGTCAGGAGAATCGTGGAGGTAATCTTAAATTTCTGCCTACAGCTATTCTTCAGAATAAAGTCTGAACTCTGAAAAATATGATTAAGGAGAGAGAAAGATGTTCCTCATTTTCAGAAACTACAAATTAAATATAAGCCTCAAGACTCAGAACAGTGCTTTCTGAAAGAGGGAGGGAGAAGTCTATTAATAAACCTATGCATGTCAACCCAAAATTCTGAGAAGAAGACATGTAGGTGTCAATCTCAATGTATTTTTTGACTTATGCCTATTCAAAATGTAAATGCCTGTACATATACCAATAACAGAGATAGTGGTTACAACTCTGCTTTAGGAAATTTCTGCACTAATAGCTCTCAATAACTAAATCTCAATTTGTCTTACCTAGTAGGAACTATATTTTAGAAAACTAAAATGTACTAAGAGTAAGCAGATATTTTGTGGTTCTACAGAGCACTACAAATGACAAATGAAAACTGAAACTCTTTGACTGATGAAAGAATGTCAAACCAATGGAGATTTGACCAAATGACTCTAACAAAGTTAAAAGAAAATCTAAATGATTAGTAATGGTGTGTGTTACAAGTATACATATGTATGCACAAAAACAAAGAGGACTTACTGTGAAAGTTGTTCACTAAGACTCGAGGATGATAGAATCCTGCTTTGCAAATGCACTCATAGGCTCCAAGTACAAATCCTAGGCCTTTAATTGGCAGACACTATAAAAAAGAAGAAAAAAGCACTCTGGTTGATCATAGTTTCTTTCACAGTGTGAAGACTCGTAGATACCCATCACTGCACATGGTAACAAAACTAACACATTTTCCAGAATTAAAATATCTGTTTTTTGAACTTTTATTTTAGGTTTGTTTGCTAACAGACACATTTTAGAAGTAAAAAATTGAGTTTTCTTTCTAAATATATGAGGTTACAGCTGCAGTTGCCGTACATCTTTATCTCACTCAGATGCCACAGAGATTACTAGAGAAATAGTTTCTGTTTTTAACGCTGCACATATCACCTTGTTTCTTTAAGAAATAGTTCCAAAACTCCTAAGAATGTCTTAAAGGTCATTCCATACTAAATGTGTCAGCCAAGAAAAGGGAGATAGGTGGCTACACAGAAGTTGGTATAGGGAAATTGAATGTGCATCAATTTTAATACTTCAACCTAAATGACACAAATTACTGGGGAAAAAAAGCAAATTCAAGATGCAAATGTAGAAGAAAAACATAGATGAATTAATGACCTCAAGGGCTTTGTGTCTAAAATTTGTTTCAAAGGAGTAGATGCACAACAAGAAGAAAGACAATGATCAACTTTGTGAATGTACCAACCCAAAAGAGAATAAACCTCTCCTCAAAATGTAATTTTATCTTTTTTCAAGTTTATCACTTAACTGAAATAAAAACGAGCTCAGTATACTCCAAAATTTTGCTATATTTGGTTACAGAAGTAATAACTTCTACTAAACTATGAGCAAAATATTAGTAAAATAGCATTTTCAGAGTCTAATCAGTCTTGAAATTTCTGTTATCTATCAAGATTCAACCTTCTGCACTGTTGCTATTATATTCTATTTTAGGAACTTAAAATTTAGTAGATTTTAATTATAAGATGATCCTCAAAGTCAAGGGAGAGTAAAACAAATAATTTGAACAATAATTTTATAATCTAAACATAAATGATAAGTACCAAGATCAATAATATAAAATTAAGCAAATAGAAAACATATATATGGTAATGCAAACCAATACATATTCTAAAGTACAACAAAAAAAATTTGGAGAGGTTTCTAAATGACCATTCTATTTTATTTCATGAATATTCCTTCTTTTCATTAAATATGCACTAAAGAAAGATTTTGCTTTTAATGTTGGACATATCATCTTATTTCTTATACCTTGCAATAAAAAACATAGTCCTTAACCTAGAACAAAATAAAATGGCACACAAGTAGTATTCAATTCAACTGTGTTAGCAAGTATCTAAAGAAGTGGTGCATGCCCAGAAATTTCCTACAAGGTCTAATTTAAACAGCATGTATTAGTTATAAAACCAGTCAAATTATATTTCTGAACTATATAAATAATAAAGCAGTCCTAACATTTACTTTGAAGTAGTACTATTATTATAAAAAGAATAGTGTATATCATTTGTGGACTGTCAGAAAATGCAGATTAGCATTCTGACTTTATACCTCCTTACCATGTAAATTCAAGCTTTTTCTCTTAATCACTCTAACCTCCTACTCCTTTTCTTAAATTATATGAACATCCATTCAGAGAGACTCAAATCTTGTCTGCAGAAGACAGATTCACCAAGATTTCCTAATGGGTTAAATACAGGGTAGAAGAAGAAAAGAAAAACAAAGGATGATCCCAAAATTTTTGACCTCTAGAACTCTAAGAATGTACTATAGTTTTCATAGACTCATAAGAATGTCTTAAAGGTCATTCCATACTAAAAATGTCAGCCAAAGAAAGAGGAGATATGTAGATACACAGAAGTTGGTATATAGAAATTAAATATTCATCAATTTTAATACTTCAACCTATATAGCACAAATTACTGGGGGAAAAACAAGTAAATTTAAAATGCAAATATAGAATAAAAACATGAATGAATTAATGATCTCAAGGGCTTTGTATCTAAAATTTGATTCAAAGAAACATGCACAAGAAAAGGCCCTAGGTAGAGTGGATTGAGGGGAAAGACCAGAAGTATAGTTTTACAAAAGTTCTCAGTGGAAGTACCTATTTGAAATTTAATTCTAGATAGCAAGTGGGAAGCTTGATAAGCTAGACATCACTTTAGGTGATGTCTAAGCTGTAGAATTTTAAAATCATCTGCATAAAGATGACTGGTAAAACTGTAGAGCAGATGAGACTAAGTCACTAAAGGAGTGCCTCCAGGAACTGAAGAAAGTAAGACTAAACATGAGAATAACCTGGCTGCAACACTGGCCACCGCCAGTGCTGAAATGTTAGGAGGAGAGGAAGAATGAAGAGCCACTTAGTGAGGTATCACCATTGCTTCATTAACTACCTCTGAGAGTCTGAACATAACATCAAAATTTTGTTGTGTTAAATCTGTTAAACATTCACCCAATAAGGATTTATCAAAGTAAATGAAGTCTTAGAAACCAAGACTATGTTTCGCTTCACTGGAATTTGAAGGTTAATACTATTCATTAAAATAGCACTAATTTCCTGGTGACGTGACTCAATACTGCGACAGTGACTCAGTTGAGAATTTTGAATGCTTAGGCTAAAGCTGAAAATAAAAGTAACCCTCAGCTATTAAGTTAACTGTAGAGATGACATAAAACTAAAGGTTAAAAACTCTAGTGGATCAGATAAATATTGCAAAACAAAAAGTCCTTTGCATTTAAAAAGAAATTCCTTTTAAAATACAACATGAACTATTAGTTACCTCAAGATTATTGTTTGTTTCTTAAATTATCTCAATCTCAGAGGAAAGAAAAAACTTCTAGTCAGTTAAAATCAGTGAAAGTGTATCACCCTGTTGTACTCATTCAACTCCATGATGCCCAGGTCTACGAGAAACCTAATGTGAGGATCACTATAAGTCTGAGCTGTGTAGTGAGATCCTGTACAAAATAAATCAATAAATACCTTTAAAAAGATGAGAATAAAGTTGGAGGCAGCATACTTGTTTATTTTCAAATATAGTATAAGGCTATGATTAGTGAAACAGCATAACACTGGCATACAAACATATGGTCCAATGGGATGGAACAAAAGCACTGAACTAAATTCTTGCATATAAGGTGACCTTTTAAAGGAGCACCAAGACCACTGGATGGTGATAGGCCCATCTTATAATAACTGATGTAGGGAAAACTATATCCAATTATGCACTTTTTTACATGTAAAAGAAGGCAGTTGAAACTTTCCCTAAGACCATATTTTAAAAAAAATTTTTTTTAATGATTAAGACCTAAACACAAGTCCTAGAACACAAAACTTCTAGAAGTAAAATATGGAAAATTTTCATGTCTGATTTGGTAATAATCCTTTGGCCATGATTCCAAATTTATAAACAACAAAACCCAATATAGAAAACGGTACTTTATCAAACTAAAAACTTTCCCTACATCAAATAAAACAACAGACTAAAATGTTAAAAAATGTTTTGAAATCATACATTTGATAAGCTAAGACAAAGAATACATAAAGAATTCCTACAACTCAGTGACAAAAAAATCTTCTCACAAACAATCCAATTAAATAACATGAAAAACACACATATCCCCCACGAAAAAGTAAAAATGCAAGCATTCAACATTACTGACCTTCTGAGAAATGCAAATCAAAACTACTTGGTATCATTAGTTTTTAAAAAAGAAATGTTTATGAGGATGTAAAGAAGTTGAATCCTTATATAGTGCACTTAGTTATGCACTTGGAAAAAAGCATAAAAGTTCCTTTAAACATTAAAAATATAATTATAATGTTACCCTCCAAACTCATGTCTGAGTATATACCCAAAAGAATTAAAAGTAGGATCTTGAAGAGGGATTTATAAATCCATATTCATAGCAGCACTATTTGCAATAGACAAAAAGTGCAACACAAATGTCGAACAATAGATGAATGAATAAACAAAATGTGATATACCACAGGAAAGCAGAATACTGTTAAGATTTAAAGGGTGGAAAGCAACTGGCTATGGTGGCCCACACCTGCAATCCTGCAATGCAGGAACAGGTTGGGTGATGTTCAAGCCATTCTGGGACACAGTGAATCCAAGGCTAACACAGACAATAGAGCAAAATCTTATCTTAAAACAATCAAAGACGTATAGATGATAGATAGACAGACTTACAGACAGACAGATGATAGATATATAAAAATAAAGGGAGGAAATTCCATGATTTGCTACAACATGGGTGAATATTGAGTAGATTATGCTAAGTGAAATAAGTCACCTATAAAAACACAAGTACTCTGTGATTCTATTTCTATGTGGTTTCTCTAATGTAAACTTGTAGAGGACCACCAGACAGCTCAGAAGACTAAAGCCCTACTTATGCAGGCACAAGGAGTGGGGTTCCATCCCCAGCATGCTGTGCCAGCCCACCCCCGGGGCACACTGCAGCAAGTGAAACTGGGCATTGTGGCCCACACCTGTAAGCCCAGCGCTTGGGAGGCTGTAGAACAGGAGGATCACTACAAGTCCGATCTGTCTAGTGAGACCCTGTACACCCTGAACTAAAAAATTTTTAAAAAATTGTAGAAATGACTAAGAACATTGGTTGTCAGGGGCTGTGGAAAGAGATATGAAAACTTGTGCAACTATACAATTATACAAATTAAAGATATTAGAGTTTCGGGGCTGGTGAGATGGCTCAGTGGTCTAAAGCACCTACTTGGAACAAGCTTAGCAAACCACAGGGACCACGGTTCAATCCCCCAGCACCACATGCCAGCCCACCCCGCCCCCTGGTGGGCTGAGCTGGCCACACACACACACACACACACACACACATAATAAATAAATAAATGTAAAAAAAAAAAGAATTAAAAAAAAAGATATTAGAGTTTCAATTATACATGTTAAAAATATTTCACAGGGTTGTAATACAGCAATATGATTTCTGTTGCTGTGACAAAAACACCAAATATGGACTACTTAAAACAGAAAAGGTTTGTCATGGCTCCAGATTTCAGAGGTCTCGGATCACGTTTACTTG